ATATTATATTATATTATATTATATTATATTAATTATATTATATTATATTATATTATATTATATTATATTATATTATATTATATTATATTATATTATATTATATTATATTATATTATATTTATTTTCTCCACATAAAACCCATTCTGGTAGTCCTGGCCACTGGCACAGAACCAGGAGTTGAGCCAGACCTTCTGCTGTCACTCTACACAAAATACTGCCAAAGTCTTTACTGTTACATCTTCTGTATAATAACATTTTTTAAGTGGAATTCAACATTTTTATCTACAGATAAAAATGCATATGTTGGTTTTTCTCCTTCTAGTGCTGGTGCTTTGGTGCTAGTTTTACAATTAGGAAATTTTCTGTATGATAACTCTGTGAAATAACTCTAGCAATAAATAACTCTGTGAAATCAGTGAAACTGGAATCAGCCTCCTCTTGTAGGAGTCTGAAGTTGCCATAAAAGTTTCTTTTGGGAATGCTCCACCCCCCTGGCAGCACAGCCCAAAGCAATCAGTGAAAACTTTAGGCACAGAAAGTATGGAAGAATAAAAATAACTCCAGAAATAAAATAACTCCAGTAATTCTGAGATATTGCCCACAGCACAAGTCTGGGGCACAGCCACCTCCCTGGAAAAGCACCACGTTCATCTTCTATCACACTAAGCAAATGCTATTTTTATATTGGTCCCAGCTATTTTAAGCAAAAATTTGCTTAAAAAGGACACTGAACGACAACTTCTTTCATTTGGTGAGCATCCACTTCTAAACGAGCTGTTTACAGCAGTAATTTGGAGTTTTCTTTTCTCTCTCCAGTTTTCTTAAGGACTAATGCCAGTGGCAATCTCTGTGAATCTCCTGACTCTTTCTGGAGGTTAAACTGGCTACAAGAAAACCAGATCAAAGGGAAAGAAAAACTTTGTTTGGGAAGCACAAAAATATTTACACAACACAAGATAAGCCAGAACTCCTCATTTCTACCATGCAGACACGCTTGTAAAAAGCAGGTTAAAACTTGGCCATTTTTAGTTCAGCTGGGGAGGAGAGAAGGGATTTTATAGCTCATGTAAGAGAATAGAGACAAGGCTGGGAATCAGTTTGTGATGCAGCTAATTGAAAAGATCCAGGGTTTCCTGCCTGGAGGAGAAGAATCCCTTGGAGCCATTTTGATGCACAAGAGGAAAAGAGAATAAAGTTTCCCACCACAGACAAGTGACTGGGAAATGGCAGCCAGAAACAACAGGATTGGACAGGCAGAGCTTGGGAAGCAGGACAAGAGCTTTGCTTCAACCTCCTCTGAGCTCCTCAGCTGCAGCCACCAATTTGGGCAGCAGACTATGAATAGAACTCCTGAGAGATAGCACAGATTGAACTGGGGCTGGCCACTGCAGTAAAAAAAAAATTAGAGATGCTTTTTCACAAGATATTTCTCAAGAATTTGCCTCTTTTTTAGCCAGCTCTGGTAAACTCAGACAAAATGGGCAGTTCAAAACATTTCTTGATATTTCTTCTATCAAGGTCAGGTCAGGCCCCTCCTCAGGGGCTTTCAACCAAATATCTCTTGATTTTCTTGAAGCCTGGTGGATCAGAATTCTCCCTTACACCTGGGGAGCATGAACACCCAGCTGCATATTTGGGATGGGAGCCCAGATTTCAGACACCATGGTTTGATTTCCAGGCCTGGATCATCTGTTAATGATCTCCCTTACATACAGCCACAACTTCAAGACTGAGTTGCTGAAAATCAGGTTTAAATCTCAGTTTTTTTACCCCATTTCTATGAAGTTTAATTTAATTTCCAATATTCCACGTGCTCTTTTCTCCAGTCCCAGCCCAGCTGGGGTGCAGCCATTGAGTCCTGCCATTCCCAAAGCTGCTCCTGACTCACTGCCCTTACTGGGGCAGCACAGGGCTGGGACCAGCTCCCAAGGAGAGCAATTACTGGTGGAATTCATGATGTCTCCTGTGGCCAAAAGAACCAGACAAGCTTATAAATTTAAGCAGACACTATGCTGAAAATGTTGGATTATATGCTAGCGGCATATAATGGGAAAAAATGGGAAATTAGAAGAGAATAAAAAGAGAATTGGAGAAATATTGAACATTTTGTCTATTTCACCTGTCAATAATGCCTCATGTGTTGCTGTAAGGATTCAAGAAAGGTTCAAGGAAGGTATTTGAAGTGCCAAGAAAACATTATTTGTTGGTGAGTCCCACCTGCCCAGCTGCTGCTGTACATGGGCTTGGAGGGCATCTTTCAGTGGTGGCAAGGAAAAAAAGCATTTGAACAGAGAACCACAGAGTCATTTAGGGTAGAAAAGACTTTTAAGATCATCAAGTCCAACCATTAACCCAGCACTGCCAAGGTCACTGCTAAACCACATCCCCAGGCACAACATGTACACCTCTGTTAAATCCCCCCAGGGTTGGTGACCCCAGCACTGCCCTGGGCAGCCTGTTCCAGGGCTTAACAGCCCTTTCAGGGAAGAAATTCTACTCAATATCCAATCTAAACCTCCCCTGGCACAACTTGAGGCCATTTTCCCTCTCTTATGGCTCGTTACCTGGGACAAGAGATATCTGTTTCCCACTCTGTGTAGAACACTGAATTTTGTGAGCACAGGAGCTCAGACACAGAGATGCTCAGATGATCAAAGGGCACTGGAGCATCACCGCTCCAGAGGGAAAACCTTCCCCTGCACACCTATGGCAGGACAGGACTCCTGGCTCACAAATTCAGGACTTCTTCACCTAAACATGAGGACAAATATATAAAACACAACCCAGAAACCTGAGGGAGTGAGGGGCTGGTTTCTCCACACGCCAGCAGCAGAGATGCTGCCGACTGCCAGGCTGCAGATGGACACTGCATTTACAAATTAAACTGTAACTCACTGGTTGTTGGGTTTTTTTTTAACAGCATCAGTCAGGTTTTGTGTCTGTGGGAAACTTTTCCTCAGAGAGGCTCTTTTCACAGACACAGCAGGGATGGAGGTAACAGCACGAAACGAGAGAGCTTGAAAAGCAGCGGCGTGCTGCAGGAAGCCCAGCATTTGCATGTTAAGCTACATCTATTCCCTGAACGCTCAGGCACATGAAAGCAAGCCTGGTTAGCAGCAGATCTGTTCGCTGCAGCCTGAATTTAAAGGTCAGGGATGTTTAGAGCTGGGGTTTTTTGCACTTAGCTGGAGCAGAGTTGCACGGCTCCCTTTGGGAGCTGGCGCCGTGCTGGGACAGCAGGGCACGGTCCCATCTGCAGCACAGGGCCCCCATATCAGCCCCTATCTCCCAGTGCCAGTGGCCCTGGCTCACTGGGATGTTGTAGGAGAGACATTTCTCTGATACCAGTGACCTTAACAAGAGCTTTTCAGCGCTTGTCAGGCTCTGACAGCTGAATCCTTTCAGGCACGTAAATGCCGCGTGAGTGGAAAGCAGCCGAACGGAGCCTTCTTCCCAAAAACACTGCCCTGAGGGAAGCATGAGACATTCAAACTCAATTCAAACCTGTCTCATCTTCAGAAATTAAGCTGATTTTTGACCAGGCTGAAGCTGTCCTACCTGACATGGCAATTCTGCCCTTTGGCTTCTGGAGGGGCTGGCGCCAGGGCTGCAGGCACGGGAGATGCTCAGCTCTGCCTCCTGCTACTCCTCATCCTCCTGTGACACCCTGATGAACAGCCAGGCATGGCAGGGTTGTCATGCACACCCCCGAGCTCCCCAGGATGCTGTTTCCTGCCTTGCTTTGGCATCCAGGAGCGGGAGATAAAGAATAAAATGATGACCCTTGTCATCGCCTCCCAAACGAGCAGCTCTGATGAGCAGCGTGTTTGAATAGTCAGGGCAGGGGCAGACACACATGCTGGATTTACTGAGATAAATGTTGGTCTCAGCTGTTGAATTCCTGGTGCTGGTGAAGGCTGCAGAAAAATTGTGTGTATGCAGAGTGGATAAGAGCTGAGGGCTTGCTGTTGCCTGCCAATTGATAAAGGAGTGGAGTGACTGTTGCTTTGTTTGGGTTTGTGATTAGATTGATATGGCTCATGTCTTAGGATAGGTGAGCAATTAAACAGAAATACAAGCTAAGATCCTTGGATTCACCTGAAATGCACTGGGGAGGGAAGGGTCCATGGAAGGACTGATCCAGCCCCATAAAGCAGTGCACGCCCTCCAGAGGGGTTTTAGTTCAGCTCATCTGGACTGGTCACTTATCTCGTGCTGGTGAGGTGGCACAGGGTTCCATCTCCTCTCCATCTCACATCACCAGGCAGTGACACCCCAGCACTGAGAGTGGAAGCAAAACCCCCTCAGATTTCCCAGCACAGCTGCACACAGTGGCATTTAAAATGCCCATTTTGAGTCCCCTCACCTTCCCCTCCCACAGAGCTGAAGGGAAGCACAGCCCCAGCAGCATCACTGAAATATGAGCTTGCCTTTCTCAGAAGCCCTGGAAGTCCCTGGGCTTGGCTCCTGAGTGCCACCAGGGCCCTGGGGACAGGCAGCTGGGTCACTGAGCCACCAGGCTGCTCAGCAAGGCACAGCAGCCCCTGGGGCTCTGCTAGGCTCGGCTCCTGCCCTCCCGGGTCCCCCGCATGAATGCATTTGTGCTTTGCTCTGCTGCCTCCACAAGCACTGCTGGTGCTGAGAGCTCGCTTATCCCAGTGAGGAACATGACAAAGATTGCTGGGGCTTTGTTCTGGCATTTGCTGTATGCAAATAAGTCCCTTGTCTTATTTTTGGAGTAAATTTTTTGTTACTTTCTGCCTGTAAACCTCCCACCCAAGGGCAGTCTGCAGTGCCTGGGGCATCCCTTCAGGACAATCGATATTGGGCACTGTGAAACCTCAGGGATTTTCTCTGCCACCAGCCCCAAAGCACCTTGAGAAATTCCCTGTGTCTGCCTCCCAGAGTGCCACTGCAGCAGGTATAAATGTGTACATCTGCCACATAGCCTGCACAGGTCTGCTGAAGAGGGAGGAAGAGGAAAGGAGAGTCTCCTTTTCTCTCTCTGCCTCACACCTGCCTATGGCATCAGATCCTACTTGCATTCATCTCCTACCTGCTCCTTTTATCTTCTCCTCTTCTGGGACTCCAATCCCACCAAGGACGGCTGAAGTCCCCAGAACTTTTCTCCTCCTCAGCTCTCTCCTGTCTGTGGGGGTTGCATTAAGTTACCCAAATGTTACTGCTGCATTCAGGGTTCAGAGCAGGTTACACAAAACAGCAGCACCTGTGCAAGGAAGAGCTGATCCCTCAGAGGGGATGACATCAGTTGTAGCTCTCAATGACCACCTGAAATGGGCTTTTATGAAATTGCAGGTAGTTAAAAAATTTCAAAAGACAGGAAAACATATCTGACATACCTAGGAATGAAAATATTGCTGGTAACAGTTAAATGCATTATCCCATGAAAAATGTGCTCATATTCCATTTAAACATGTGACTATCTCAGGATTTAGTGCATCTGCTGAAAATTCTCATTGCAAAGATTAAAAAAATTAAAGGTTTTGAATGAGAGTTGCTCACCTCATTTGGGCTGTGCTCAGATCTCAGGCACCAACAGCTCCACATCCTCCAACACCTGAACGTGGAGTCAAGAAAGGTTTCCTTTGGGAAGAGTTGGGAGAAACAAGTTGAATCACAGGTGTGATTGAGTTGGGAACTCTAATGTCTGCTCGATTTTGGGCACATTTGTAATTCATGTTTAGAATTCAATTATTTACATAATTGACAGAAATGAAAAAGCAAATAAGAGACTGAAAATATTTGTCGTTTCTTATGGCAGTAAAAGACAACTCAAAACAGCTTTAAAAATGAAGGGCAACTTATTTCCAGATTTAGAGCTTCTAATGGTCTCAAAAACACACACTAAGTAAATCAATGAAAAGTGAATGCTGGAGGCACAATACAGAACATTCTGGAGTAACAGACATGCAGGACCAGAGTCTGAACTGGGAATTCCTGTCCTGACACCACACAGCCTTTGGGTGGTCACAAGGAAATAAGATAATGCATCTGACTCCTTTCCCAATACCTGCCACGGGCAATGGAGATCCCAGCCCACAGAAAGGGCCCCTCAATGATCCACCTGATCCTTTTCTTACAGATATACAGGGCGCAGGGCAAACAAAAGGCAGAGCCGGGGGCTGATGTGTGCTCTGTTCCATGATTCAGTGTTGCCTCAATCCTCCCACCACTGCTCTGGTGAATGGAGGAGCACGTGGGGCTGAGAATTACCAGGCAGGTGTTTAAAGATATCTGTAAGCAGTTCTGCTATAGTCTAATTAGTGCTCTAATACACATTACAGTGCACAGTCATCATTATTTCCTCTTCATTAGCTGCTGAAATATAACACATCTTTAAAAGAAAAAAAACCCTAACCCATTTTCCTTTTTTTTTTAATTAAAAAAAACCCCAAGAGCCTCTTTCTGCCATTACCATAACAAAGGCAATAGGAATATGATTAATGCATCCATCCCAGCTATGTGCATTGTACACTAAAGACACCAGCTCAGCCTAACATGAGCTAAGCCACATTTGGTAACATTCACACTTGCACCAAAGGAAATGTTTGGAAAGGAAACTACAGAAGAATGAATCTTCTCTCCTAAAAATGCAGAATCTTACTTTCTGCAAAGAGGGAGGCCACAAGCCCAGCAGAATGCACCCAAAGCATTCAAGGCATGGTCTGAGAGGGACAGGAGATTGGGAGGGACAGGACTCTGTGCTGTGGTCACTCTGTGAGGGCAGTCAGTGCCAGCTCTGCCCAGTTTGGGGTGTTTTGGTGGTGATGGCTCTCCCTGCCCCAGCAAGATGCAGAAACTGCTGAAATGTGCCCATTGCCCCCAGCTCCTCAGAGGGAACTGCAGGATCCTGGCAGTCCCACACATCCCAACCCCAGCCCTGACCACAAACACAGCTCAGGAGCTGCTGTGCCCAAAATCCTCAGGAACAGCTCCTGCCTTTGGGCATTCCTCACACAGATCCCACTGGGGTACCTGGGCCAAGGAAAAGGGTTTCTCCAAGCCTGGGGGCCAGGATTTCTGTAGTGGCCTGTCCCAGTCAGACACTGGGGTACAGCACACTCCCTGTGTGCTGACACTGGGGTACAGCACTCTCCTGCAGAGCCTTTGGGGGAATCTGGGGGATTGGGTAGGAGATCAGGGGCCCAGCTCCTTCCCTCCATGCCTGTGCACACTGGACACCCTCACGAGTCACCACAGCCTCCCTCAGACAAGGCATCCCCTTTTCCACTCCAAATTTAATTCTCCATCAAAGGCTGGAAGTCAGGATGAACTCACCAGAGGGCACAGCAGCTGAGGAAGGAACATTTTTCTGCCTGCTTGGCCTCTGACAGCAGCCCTTTAATTACAGCAAGTTTTCAGCGAGTAGGGACTCGTGCCCAATCCCCCAAACTCAACTTGAAGCTTCTCTGCAGCTCCACTCTTCACCCTGTGTGACAGAGCAGTGGCAGATGCTCCCAAACTGATCCCTCATGGAACACAGCACCACAACTACAATGTGCCTTTACTGCAACAACAGATTTTACTCTTCCTCTAGAGATCCACGGAAATCTGGCCAATTTTTAAACTAATTCAAGCTGTGGGGAGCAAGAAAACCCCAAGGTTGATGCTGCTGGTGAGTGGCAGAGATCAGAGCTGTGGGGCAGTGCCCTCTGAGCTGCTCTGCTCCCACAGCCAGGCAGAAGGGGATTTTAATTTTGAGCTAAAAAGAGTGAATCCACACCCAGCTGAGGCTCAGGGTGTCTCACCTGTGCCTTGGTGCCTATCAAAACCTCAATCAGCTGGAAATAGCCCTGGGATTTTCTAGGGATATTTCTGGCCCTGGGTTTCCAAAATCTCCCAAAACAAAAACCAACACCGCAGTGATGGACGCCAGGGCAGGGAAAGTTTCGTGTGCCTTCACTTTAAAGACAGGGGAGCAGCAGCAAATAGGTGAAACAATTTAGCCCAGGTTGTTCAATAAGTGCTTTGCAGAGCCTGGGTTGGGATCTGGAGATCTTGTCTCCTGTTATCGACTTGGTTTAACATTGCTGGAAACACCTTAATTATTTTGTTTTGTTGTTCCAAGGAGCTGAGCATAGGAAATAGTCTAAAGCCCTGTGAGGTGCTGAAAAGAAAGCTTGATGAGATTTTGTTTCTTTTGCTGAGAATACAAAGAGCAAAAGGTTGAAAGTAGATGGGCCAGTGAGTTCTCCTGGTTTGCTTTTACAGGTTGTTTTTCCTTATTTTCATTATTAATCAAAACCACTCTGAAGTTTCCTCAGGAAAAGGGTAATGGTGTCAAGAAAATTTAACATGTGCTGGAGATGAATTCAATGCAGCTCTGTTACCTGTAGGTCAGCTTGTTTTTTCTTTTAGAGACAAGTTTACATCTCAGCTTAGGGAAACTATTGAACCAGGCACAACAGGAGCCCTGTGCTGCTCCTGGAGCCCCGTCGCAGGAGCTGAGGAGCACAGGGGTTTGATAATGCTTTAATGCAGCACAGACATAGCATTTGATTTCTATATTGATCACTCTGTGCACAATTAGTGGAGTAAGTGCAAGTTTACAGCTGGTGCAGCTCCTTGCTCTTGTTTTTGGAGTGAATAAAACTGAAGTGAGGGGAAGCAATCATGTTCCCTGACCTCAGCAGTGACATCCAGCAGCAATCATGAAGCACAAAGGCTTTTTAAAACCATGAAGAAGCTCAGTCCCTTGGAGTTATGCTGACTGCTCTCTCACCTGTGATTGAAAATTATTTTAAATAGATGCTTAAAAAACCATGATTTAAAATATTTTTTAATTGAGGTTAACCTCCAGCTTTAAAAAGCCAGAGGAAAAGGACTACTTGCTGAATTTCAGTTCCAGGCACTTTTATACTTGACAGGTAAAAATTGCAAAAAAATATTTCATGCATTTAAAGGCTTTTCTTCCTCTTCTTCAGATATTTATATTGCATTCTAATTGCTGATTACTCAACAGACAGAGGGAAACGTCTTTCACCCCAGAGACTTTTGAAGATGTTATTTTGACACGTCCACGCAGACCAACACCCACTCAGCACATCAGGATGGAACTGCAAAATCAATTAATTCAACAGCTATTTCTGCAGCCTAAAGTGTAATTACCCATGAAATGTTGATGGGTTTCAGGATAGCAGAAATTCATCATTTATGCTTAACCTGGCTTGCTTTCCCCTCCCTCCATCCCAGAAGCAGCGCTGGGATGCTCAGGGAGCAGTGATGGGTGCAGGGGAGCTGGGTCTCACCCACTCTGGACCAACTCAAGGCATTTTACCCCTCAGCAAGGTGAGGTGCAGCAGGGCAGCTCTCCCAAAGCCCACCGGAACCAACACCCAGTAAAACCCTCAGGAAATCCTCCTCCTTCCCCCTCTCCCACCTCTCCTCTGCTTCTTCTGTGCTGCTGCTGTGGATGAGGAGTTTCCTGGCTGCCCTGCAGCTCTGCAGGAGCTCTCTCCTGCCTGGATGAGCACATGCTTGCCCAGCAGCAGCTCCACCACAGCCCCTGCCCACCTGCAGCACTTCAAGGGCACGCCCTGGGATGAGGCTTTCCAAAATCCTCCACACCCCCTGCACGGAGCTGCAGCAAGGAGCTGGCTCCAGTTATGGATGCTGGATATTAACAACAACTCTAAACACAATAATTAATTCATTTATCTCCAACTTACAGTAGCCTTTGTGTAGAAAAGCGTTTTATGGTTGAATAATTTTAATTTTTTTTTTAGTTCTATGTAAAACAGGCATCATCAGTATAATCCTTAGAATCTAATAATGATTCCATCAGTGTAAAATCATTATCCTTAGGCAAGAAGGAAACCAATTCAATTATGATGTTGGTTGAAAAATCGAGGGTGAAAAGTTGTAGTACATATTAAACTCGAGGCTGGAAAAGTTGTAGTACATATTAAAATGGTTACTACAAAATTTGTGCATCCAGGCTAACAAATGCTAATATGTTCTTTTGTTACCTTCTAATTTATATGATTCATGTAAGCCCGCAGCAAGAGAAACTTGTTTTAAAATTCATCTACATTAAAAAATAGCAATGCAATGAATTGTAAAGTTATTAGCATTCATGTCTAGTTGTGTTATTAAGCTGTACACATCAAATCGGGTACTACAAGTACAGAAATGTCATAATGAAGTAGAACAGCATTTAATCAGAAGAATTTCTAAAGGTCATCAGAGCATCATATAAATTCATCCATGCATGACAGCACTATGAAATAAATAACTGCAAGAACACTGCAAGAATAAACTTCATCCTGGGAGCTTTGTTTCCAATAGTGGAAGAATTAGCTGAATTTCATGCTGAGAGAACAGCTAACAAAAAAATACTGAATGCTGGAGTTTTAATTAATGAAAGCCTAATAAGAGGCAGATAAGGAGTTTTCCACGAGGGAGCTAACGAGGTGTGCTCCCTGATAGTTTCCCACCACAGCTGATCTCAGACATCTCCCTACAACTCAGAGCCGGTGCTCAGCTCTGGTTTTTCTTCCTCATTAGCCAGATGAGCCCTAAATGATTCCCTTTAAATAACCAACGATTTGTTAATATTTTTGCACTCATAACAAGCCTTTAAGAG